GTTATATCCCCTACTGGATGCCAGACCTGATCAACACTGTACCCAGACTGCCCTCCTCAACACTTGAATATACTGGGAACTGATGAACAGTGAGCAAAAAGCAAGGGCATGAGAGAACAGATAAGGAAGAGCCAGCCATGGAGTGATGCTTGCCACCCCAGGACTAAGGAGGTAGAGGTAGGAAGATTGCCTCAACTTCAAAGCCACCCTGGTCTACACAGAATTCTAAGTCAGTTATGGCTAAACTGCCCAAGGCTATCTCAAAAAACTAGTGAGAGCTGGTGAGACGGTTCAGTGGGTTAGGGCGTTTTCCAAGTCTAGGTAGCGGTTAAGAGCACCAACTGTTCTTCTAAAGGACCCAGATTCAAGTCTCAGCACCTACATGGCAGCTCACAACTGTCTGTAACTCCAAGATCTGACACCCTCACACAGACATACATGCAGGCAAAACACCAATGCACATAAAATTAAAAATAAATTATTAAAAAAACCCTCAGAAATATCTAAACACATCAAAATCCATGCATGTTGGACAATAAATAGAACCTGTTTTTTGTTTGTTATGAGACAATGGTTTTCTATGTAGCCCTGGCTGTCCTGGAACTCGATATGTAGACGAGGCTGGCCTAGAGCTCACAGAGATCCACCTGCCTCTGCTTCCCAAGGGCTGGGAATAAAGGCGTGCACCACCTCGCCTAGCTTAGAACTTGTCCTTGGGTAAATACCTTTAAACAGATAGTTCAGGTGTAGAAACGCACACCTGCTAGGCAGTATGTTTTAAGTGGACAAAAAAAAATCTCCTCCAGTAATTTGGGGAGCATTATCATACATTTTACTAATGCTACATGGAATTCAGACTCCGCTCTGGACAACCTCAGCTGTCCCAAGTGGAGACAGCCTGTTCATCCCAGCTTAGAGACTTGGACCCTACCCAGAACATCATGTTTCTTTTTTTCTATTTGAATGGAAGAAAACCAACATTGCTCTGTTTTCTATTAGCAAAAAATATAGATTTCCCCCCTTAAAACTTAAAAACTTTTATTATTTTGATTAGTTTGTTGCGAGGGAGGCTTGTGGAATTGATTCTCTCATATCTACGATAGAATTCAGTTGGTGAGAAACCAGGTCAATCTGGAACTCATCTCCTGCCTCAGCTTCTAGGATGCTGGAACTGCAGATACAAACTACCATACCCAAATTGTCTTTATTACCAACAGCGCTGGTTTTAAATGTTCTGCCTTGGTTAAATAAAAGCAATGATCTATATGATAGTCCAGGTAGTTTTATGAATATTAATTGTTTTCATAAAATTCCAAGCCAATCAGGGCAACAGTTCTAGCCCTCCTGGGATCCCCGGCTGGGGAGAGGGGACGGTGCACATCTTTGGTGGTCAGAACCGTAGAGGGAGCCAGCATTATCCCAGAAGAGGAAAGAGATCGAGGATACTGCTCTCCATCCCCGAAACTGCCCACCCACCCCCACACACATCCAAACTGGCAGACTGGTCCTAGAAGGGACCGTCCTAAAATGTCCAAGTGGTGCTCAGCTGGTGAAATCTTAGTCCATCAGGACGGCCCCCATCCCTTCCAGTCCTCGAGTCCTTCAACCCACACAGGGTGGGATTCAGTGCCAACCGCTGGAAGTACAATTCAGAGTCAGGCAGCGAGACTGGACACCCCACATTCAGCGAAGCCTGCCGCATGCTACAAAGACTCCTAACACGTACCCTGTAGGGCCATACCACACTCACAAAAGAGAGCTTCCTGGTCACGCTTGCCACCCAAAGCCTCCACCATCCTGGGCTTGCCCTGCCCCGCACAGCTGCGGGATTCTCTGGTGTCCAGAGCTCAAGGGACAACAGGCCTGTTTCCCCATCCACTGCAAAGGTCCGACTCACTCGAGAATTCACAAATGCATTTAATAACTTGCTCAACTGACTCAACTCCGTCCTTGGCCTCAATTTCCCCACCCGCTACTAGAGGACACAGATGCATTCAGGACTCATCAAAGACGACCAGGGCCTGTTTCCTCGTCTGCTACTAGGACCTAGATATTTGGGCGACACAGAGCCTTCGGGAACTTGCAAAGATGACTCTTCCCCTCCCTGGGGCCTCAGTTTCCCCTTTGGGAGCCCTCCCGTCTCCGCCTCTCGGCCCCCCAGACCACCCGGGAGCGGACCCGGTCCTTCAGGCCCAGCTTCACTCACCAGTGGCTCGCGGCGTCGCGACGTCCGGCTCCTCCAGCATCGCGGCGGCGGCGGCTCAGGCTTCACTTAGGCGGCCCCGCTGTGCTCTCCGCCTCCCGCAGATGCCGCCACTGCTGCCGTCGGTGCCGCCGCGCTCGTATTTGGCGGGAACCGCGGCAACCTCCGCGGCCCGCGCGCCGATTGGACAAGAACACGTCACGTGACAGCCCTGCCTCAGGAAAAGAGGTGCGCTCGGCGTGTCCTCGCGAGAACTGTGACTTGTTTGCCCGAAAATCCCGCGGGAGGTGGAAGGAGGAGGGCTCCTTTCCGGCGGTTCTTGAGTGGCTGGGGAGAGCCGTGTTTCTACTGATCCTAAGAAATGTCAATCTAAGACTCCTCCCTTTTATTGGGTAATATTCTTGGAAAAAGGCGGGACAGTACGTCACGATCGGTGCCAGTGACAACTTGAAATTACGGATTAAAGCAGGAACATGAAGTGAGTGTATCCTAATTAGTGATTGGTTGAAAGTAGCTACTGCGATTAAAATTGGAGATTACTTTCTTTCATTGTTAACTTATAAATTACTTCCCTTTCAACTATAAACTACTTTTTTAAAATTGTGAGTTGCTTTTCTGAAATGATGAGCCGCTTTTGAAAAAAATTACGATTTGCTTTATTTTTAAGTAGAATCTTCCGTTGTAAAATTATAAATTATTTTTTAAAACAGTGAGTTACTTTTTAGTGTGAGTTACTTTGAAGATATATTAATTGAAAAAAATTATTCATTGAGTATGGTGGTGGGAGCTTTTAATCCTTGTACTTGGGAGGCAGAGGCAGGTGGATCTCTGTGAGTTCAAAGACATCCAAGTCTGCGTAGCCAGTTCCAGACCAGCCAGTGACTGCATCAAAAAATTATTAATTGCCTTTTTTATTTATTTTATTTTATTTTATTTTGAGACAGGCTATCACAATGCAGCCTTGCTGGCTTGGTACACACCAACAGTTTCTAAAATATTTAAGCGAAGGAAGAAACCTTTCACTCCTTTACCAGGAAAGAGCTCAGAACCCACACCAGTTCTTTTCTTGATGTTGTGGCTAGTAAGTGGGTTATTTGGCTAATAAACTAATTGTATGAACTGCTTGGACCTCATCACATCTTTGGCTGCAGTAGATCCTTTGGAGCCGATCCTACTGTTGTATACCTATCAACCCTGCACTTGGGAGGTGAAGACAGGAAGACGCAGAATATAGGCCAAAGTAGGCTGAAGTTTGAGGCTAGCCTGGGCTCCGTGATACCCCATCTCACAACCCATATAAAATAAAGAGCATCCTTGTGTGGATCTGTGGGTTGCTGGCATGCTAGGAATCTGGATGCAGTCTCCAGTCCCGAAATCAGGCATGCTGTCATAGGCCTGTCATTGCAGCACCAGGGAGGTGAGACAAGATGATCAGGAGTTCAAGACCAACTTGTGCTATATGGGACCCTGTCTCAAAAAAAACAAAACGACTCATAATCCGAACTATCTATAAAGGCTCGTTTGATCATGCCCAATAAGGATGACACATACGTGTTCTTTTGCTCTGCTGCACTGCATTCTGTTGAGTCATTTGGAACCTTCCAGAACTCCTTGGCTTCACCCTGAACATCTTCCTGTTCCTGCTTAGGATCTATTTACTCGTCACCCCCATTTACTATTAATCTACAAGCTACTAGACAGGTGTGTAACTGGTTATGTAACCCAGCCGGCCTCAGACTCACTCAAAGACCCATGCGTCCTGCTTTCAAGTGCTGGGATTAAAGGTGCCACACCTGGCATATTCTGTATACGTTTTGAAATCTATAGTGCAGTTGATATGAGGGAGGTGCGTGTGTCAGTCTGGGGAAGTTTCATCAAGGAGGTGACATTCCAGCCGCAGACACCCTTCCTTGTTTCGGTCGCTTTTGACCAAGCATTTTGATTTTGTTTTTGTTGTCAGAGCATTTAATCTCAGTCACAGAAAGACAAATGAGGACGCCTTCTAAACTGGAGACTCTCTAGGTTGAGTTTTTAATGTTATTTTATTTTTATCTTTAAAACATGATTTTATGTTCTTTCTTTGTTATTTTTTTCGAGACAGGGGTTCTCTTTGGAGCCTGTCCTGGAACCAGCTCTAGTAGACCAGCCTTTTAAGTTACGGGGATACCTGTGATCCTCGCGGCCAGGAGAGGGCGGACCTGGAGCTGGAGTTACAGGCGATTGTGATGTGGGTGCTGGAAACCGAACTCCGGTTGTCGGCCAGGACAGCAAGCCATGGATCCCTCTAGCCCCTAAGAGATTTGTTTCCATTTTATTCTCTATTTTATTTATTATGAGTTCCCGCGGGCCAGGATAGCCGTGAACTTTGACAGAATCTTTCCTTAGGAGCTCCGCGAGATGGCAGCGGAGCTTGGAGACATGAGTTCGATCCCGGCGATTTACATGGTGGAAGGCGAGACCCGACTACTGACTGCAGCGGTCCTCTGACCTCCACACGGGCTCCACGGCACGCAAACTGACTTTGACTTTATAGCCATCTCCTCGGCTGCAGAGGTAGCCAGCCGCCTCTGGCCTCTCTAGGCTCCCCCTCTTTCGCTGGTGTGGGCGGGTTTTCGCCTACCTTCCAGCCGCAATGCGTTCTCCAGCCTGCAGGGGGCACGCGCGCTCACAGAGAGGCCGAGCGCGCTCGCGCGGATTTCGGGGGTAGGGGGTGAGACGAGGTGGGGGCGGCACCGGAAGTATGTGGTTGCCATGTAATATTCCGGCCGCGCGTGCGCGCTAGCGGGCTGAGGCGTCTTCGGGGCGGGCGCGTAGAGCTGGCGAAGTGCTTTGGCGGAGGCAACGCGGAGGAAGGAGGTCGGTTCGGCGGCACCGGCGGAAACCTGAGTCCGGGCGGGACGACCGACGGAGGGAGGCGGCATGTCGGTGGCGGGGCTAAAGAAACAGTTCTACAAGGCGAGCCAGGTGAGGCGCGGCCGGGCGATCGGGGCTTGGGCCTGGCTCGGGGGACCGCGGGCGAGCCGAGCTGGCTCCCCCAGGGCTGGCGGGGAAGAGGAGACCCGTTTTCCGACTGTGCAGGGGCACGGGGTGTGCGCATCTAGGCGGCTCTGAAAAAGCCCTGGAGGGCCGGCTAGTGGACTTCACCGCGAGGGGCTTGCCAAGCCTCATGACGTGAGTTCGATTCCTGGGACCCCAGGGAGGAAGGAGGGAACCCCGGTTTCCAGGCTGTGTACATCCGGACTCTCACTACATAACTTCATGCCATAGAAAATGTGTGTCTAGGTTTTTTTTTTTTTTTAAATCTTGATACATTTACCAAGTCCACACAAGGCTTAGAAAATCTGTCCCACCTCTTTTCTTCAGTATCTCTAAGATGGGTTGCAAAAACAAACGAAAAACTTCCAAAAACACTCGCCAGGTGGTACACATCTTTAGTCTCAGCGCTCTGGAGGCAGAGGCAGGCAAGGGGATCTCAGAGTTTGAGGCCAGCCAGGGTTACATAAGGAGACCCTGTCTCAAAAATGAAATAAAAAAGAAAAATCTGTTGGTAGACATTGTACCGAATTATAACGTACAGTGAAAAGTAATTTTCCAGGCTTCTGTTACAAAATGTCATAGGCTTTGTGTCCCCATTCCGAAACACATGTATTTCTTTGAAAGTTACATTGATATGGCTGTACCAGACTGTGGACTCCTGGGTACTTGATCGTTCAGGTTCAGTGCTTCTTGGAGCTTGAATCTGAACTGAAATTCTGCATTCTGTCTGCTGTGTTGACATTCAGGAGTTAGCTCTCCAGGTGGGCATCTGTTGCCTCACTGAACAATGGGAGCCTCACCCCCTGGGAGGAGCTCTGATCATCTTGACAACAGATGTCTTCTGACAACCTGTAACTAACAGCCCTCTGGAACTTTTTTGTTTGCTTTTTGAGACAAGGTTTTGCTTGGTAGTCCAGGCTGGCCCAGAATTTCCTCCTGCCTCTGCCTCCGGGGTGCTGGGATGACAGAATGCCACAGTTCAAACTTGCCTTCATGTATTGAAGGTCTTAGATTGCCTTGAACTCCTGGGCACTGTGAGCCTGCTTCCTCAGCCTCTGGGTGCTGGGGTTTGGTCATATGTCTCAGGCTGGAGTGGCCTCTTGTTCATTACTCCCCTGTCTCCGCATCCTGGTGCTGGGTTACAAACAGTTGTACCAAGCCTCACTAATGAGGTTAGTTTTGTAAGATAAATTCTCTACAAGTGGATTGCCAAGTTCATAGCTGAGTTTTCTGTTGTCTGTTTTGGGTTTCTTCTCTTCTGTCTTTCCTCCCGTCAGGTCGGTTGGTCGGTGTCTCTCTTACTCTCACTGTCTATCTCTATCTGTGTGTGTGTGTATGCACACACACACATGCTGGGGAGAGAACCCAGGACCTTGTCCACAGTAGCAAATGCTCTACCTTGAGCTATGGCCCCTGCTTGATGATGTATTTTATGTGGGACAGATCTCAGACTGGGGGTTACCTAGGTGGCTGAAGCAGGAAAATCAAAAGTTCATGGCCAAGTGGGTTCCAGAAACTTAAGGAGATCTATTTCCAAATGAAACACTCGGCTGCCCTGCCTGTCACCCGAGGTCCCCAGGGTCAGGACTGGCGTGGCTGTTTAAGCCTGTCTTCACTGTGCATCCCCTCCGGCGCCACTCTCAGCTCAGAGGCCTGTCCCAGTCAAGGATGTTGGAGCAGCCACGCTCCCCTTCTAGGACTCCCAAGTAGTTCTCAAAATGCAGAGAACAGAACAGGGCCTGGCCTTGTTGCCTTAGTGTGGCCCCCCTGTCTGATAGGTTGTGGCAGGATTTTAGCTCTGAGTTTAGCTGTAAGCCGGGCTACAGAGTAATAACTTGTCTGTATCTCAAAACAGCAGCAGATGGTCTAGGTGTGTAGCTCAGTTGGTAGGGTGCTTGCCTACCATGCAGGAAGCCCTGGTTTGTTAGAGTAGAAGGTCTACAAAGGGAGTTTCAGGGGTATGTAATGAAACTCCACTCAGAGGCCTGCAAGCCGTGGGTCAGTGCAGGGAGCCCTGTGAACATGCAGTTCATTGCCTGGTTTCTGCTCCAAGAAGCCCCAGATGTGCTAATCCTGTGGCCGTGCAGTGCAGCCTGAGACTTCTGGGTGTGGTACTGGCGCAAGGAGATTCCACAGAGAGATGAGCAACAGTGTGAGGAATTGCTTGGCTGTGCCTGCAAGAAGGGCTCTCCCCATGGTCTGGAGAGGCCCAGCCAGAGGGAGCAGGCTGCTGGTGCTCGCTCTCACCCCAGGGGCCAAAAGGAATGGATAAAGACATCTGGGCTCTATCTGTGGGTCTTGGAGGGAGACTGGGGGGTGGGGGGCGAATTAAAGAAGGAAGTGCAGGAATGTTGAGTGTTGCAGTGCATGCCCTCAGATGGAGGTGAGTGGGTTTGCACCCGTGCAGGAAGTACAGTAGGCAAGCTCTGTGCCTGAGATCCTTGGAATGGGATGCCAGCCTGGGCCTGAGGCTGTCCTCCTGTTTGAATCCCTGTGGCTCCAGGTCCCTCAGCTGGAGAAGTCTCTGGAGGCCCCTCCCCTGCTGATTCCCAGCAGGCACTGACAGAGGGACCCATTGGGGCAACCACCAGACTTTGCCTCTTGGTGGGCCACCATCCAGCCTGCCTACAAACCTGGAAAGTCCAGCTCAGCTGAGGATCAGTTTACTGTTTTGACATTCCAGGGCCCTGTCCCAAAGAATGACTGCTGTGCCCAGGAGTCTGAGCCAGCTCTAAAGAGCTGCATACAGATGGCTCGCAGCCCAGCCTCCTGTAGGATAGAAGTTTCCCCAGTTCCTCAACATCCCACTGTTTCAGCTGGGTCTCTCTCCTGTGTTTCTTTTTTCTGCTAAATAACACCTCCGGGGTCTGAGTTCCCGGAATATCGTTTCTTATTAGAGAAGCTACAGGCTAGGTGTGGCAGGGCCTGCCTGCAATCCCTGTGGGTTCCAAGCCAGCCTGGGCTACATAGTGAGAGCCAGCAGGACAAAAGACTGAGCTCAGCGTGTAGAGCACTCACCTAGCTTGTAAGGAAGCCCTGGGCTCCATCCCCAACTCCACCCCCCCCAGTATAGGCGCCCACTCCTGTCATCTAGAGGTGGAGGTAGGGTGATCAGTTCAACTACATAGTATGTTTGAGGCCAGCTTGGGTTACATGAGACCCTGTCGCAGAAAAGATAAAAGAATCCTCAGCCCACGCTGGCAAGAATCAGAAATGACTGGTTATAGATAGAGTTTCGGGATGTCGAGGCAAGGTATGGATGGAGCTGGAAGGCAGGATAGGTAGCATAGGCAACTTCTGGCAGGTAAGATTGCGGCTCTGGTCCCATTGACAAAAGTCACAGGTCCCTAGCTCATCTCCCAGCTGAGCCTGCAGGTAAATGTGAATGTGTAAAATGAGCTTGGGGTGTTGAGGGAAGTTGGGAGTTTCACTTCCTACAGGTGAGGCAGTGGAGGGATGGTGGCTCCCTCTGTCTCCTCACCCTGGTGTGAGTGTGGAGGACTGAGGGTTCTGAGGAAGTCTGGGTGCAGATGAAAGTGGCCTGTGAGTGGCTCAGAAGTTTGTTTGGGTATCTTCACTATGAGCTGACTGGTTTCCTGGTCACTCTATGATGGCTGGAGGTGAAGTATAACTAATATGGTGCTTGTGCCACCTGGAATGCGGACTTCTCCCCCCCCCCCCGCCCCCAGCTCGCTTTTTGCCTGAGAGAAAGGGAAAGTTTGTAAAGAAGGATTGGTTGGTCTGATTTAGGAAGAAAATTGGCATCTGTGTGGCTGTGGGGTACCAGGCAAGTGCTTGGTGAGCCTCCGCCCTCACCCATAAGACCTGAAGGCTAGGAGGGGCTGCAGACTTGGGACTCTGTGGGTTTGGAGTTGTTATGTTCCTCTCTCTCTCTCTCTCTCTCTCTCTCTCTCTCTCTCTCTCTCTCTCTTTTTCTGTGTCTAGTGTGGGCTCTCCCCCAATTCTCTCTCTCTCTCTCTCTCTCTCTCTCTCTCTCTCTCTCTCTCTCTCTCTCTCCCCTCATTGGAGGCGGAATACAAGGCCTCTTGCGGATGGGCTTTCAGTGACACCCTGGCCCTCACTTTGAGGCCACGTTTAATCTATGAGCTGAAAGTCCACCTGAGTCAGAGCCCTGGGCTCCCAATGCAGCGCCCCAGCTATCGTTCACCTGGGTGTGGTAGGCCACCCCCACCATGCTTAGATAGCCCGGGCAGCTCCAGCCCAGAGCATCACAGCAGCCACTGTGTCCCATCCCCATCATCCTGTTAGGGACATGGTGTCTGAGCGTCCCTGTTAGTGTGCCACTTCACCTTTTAGTGCCCACTCCCCTCCTCCCTGTTCTTCAGCCTGGGCCCTTCTAGAGAGGCCCCTGCTCTGTGTATATGCATGCAATGCACATACATATATCTCTGTGTGTGCATATGTGTCCATTCCCCCTACCAGGCACAGCCTTCATTGGTCGGGGTCCTGGGACACAGCTGCACCCTCTCTGCTCCTCCACATCCCACTTCCCTGGTAGGATTTGAGAGGCCAAAGCAGGCAGCTGTGTGGGGAGGGGAACCAGGCCCAGGTTTGGCTCTCTGCTTGGCACCCCCAGCTCCAGCCCAGGGCTTTTTTTCTTTTTCTTGTGGGGGAGGGCAGGGGTCAACCTGAGGTACCATCCACTATTAGAACCTAGGACTCACCTAAGACTAGCGTGGCTGGCCAGGGTCCCCATGTCCAGCAGCACTGGAACTGCCAGTCTTCATCACAGCCAGCTCTTCATACGGGAGCTGAGATCACAGTGGCGGGCACTGTACCAGCTGAGCCATCTCATCCCCTGTTTACTTACTTTATTCCTCGGAGCTTTTGTTTGTGAGATGGGGTCTCAGTCTATCACCTAGGCTAACAACACACTCACACCCTGTCCTGGGGTCATGGCTGGGTCT